GAAACTTTAAAGAAAAAACTTGTTTTTCTGCTTTTTATTTGACTCATGTTCGTTTTTCAAATAGAATCAAGGGAATGCAAACCTCTTATCAAGTCTTACCATCTGAGCGTCTGTCGGGATGCAGCTATGACCCAACAGCTGCTCGCGATGGAGCTTGGCCTAAGACAACGTACATCTCACCGGGACCTCCATGTCAGGATAAAGGTTCATGACGCCTTTACCTGGTATGTAGCGGGTTTACATGAGTCTTCCTCTAATATTTATTATATAAGATATATACAAAAGAGGAAGGGGAAAGGGAAGAGGGCACCGGCTCCTGCCGGCGGGCGGAGGTCACTGTCAGAGGTTCTGAAGATGTACCGATCGAAGATTTCTGTGGTCTCGCCGTAACACGTGCACTCCTTACGCACGTAATTCGGAAGACCTTCAACAACAGCCAAACAAGCTCGAGGACGAGCTTTCTGAAGGAATGGAGATGTCGGGATGCAGCTATGACCCAACAGCTGCTCGCGATGGAGGTTGGCCTAAGACAACGAACCTCTGACAGTGACCTCCGCCCGCCGGCAGGAGCCGGTGTCCTCTCCCCTTTCCCCTTCCTCTTTTGTATATATCTTATATAATAAATATTAGAGGAAGACTTATGTAAACCCGCTACACATCAGGTAAAGGCGTCATGAACCTTTATCCTGACACGTCCGTGTTTGAAGAATAAAAAAAATGAGGAGCGTAAGGCGTTATTTTAAAACATGTATGTTGCTGAGTATTCAAAATATCAGATTATACACGTTTTGGAATCAGCGATCTTTTTTGGTCCTAATAAGTTACGTCCGCAGGTCAACATCGCCGTGTTACCAATCTCACCTTGCACTCTAGGCCACAGGTCACAGTTTGCAGTGACAATTTAGTAAAACTATACCATGACAAAAACAATTGTAAAACAAAAAAAAGAAAATTGAAGAAACACTAAGGAGTTTCGGAGTCAGACGAATCTTTTGTTTTTATTTGGAAACAAACACAAACAAACATAGATCAAATAAAAAAACCCGGAATTGAAAAGTTTTTAAAACTTTTCCTTATGCGGTGCGACACGATACAGCGCGTTGGAATCTGAAAGAGGAATTTTTTCTAAGTATTTTCATGCACTTTTGTGAAATTCGCCAATCGCGGCGCGACGTCGCAACGCGGCAAAGCTGGCGAGGCTGTGTTCACGCGATTGCTGCATGGCTCACGCTCATCGGTGCAAAATGGGTGCGGAATACAGTAGGCCAGCTCTGCGCGCGTGCCGACCATGGCGGCGAGCTTTGGCGGCGAGGGATTTGTAGTATAACGCACGTCCTCCTGATGGAACATTCAATCAAGGTACCATTCCCTGGACCCTTCTTGTCACTTCGTTGGAAGTCTTCTTTGATATCGGCTATGTTAGATTGTCGCAAAAGTAGCAACATTGATGTTTTTGCTCAACTACTGTTAGAATCGATGCAGAGGCGGATGGACTTACTTGCATTGGGTTGCTAGATGACAATCGAGCGAACGCATGACCAAAGTCTCGTCACAACTAGATATTTCCATACTTAGACCAAAACCCTAGAAACAATGTTCACCCAAATTGAGAGTATGTGATAATGATGCGGTACAATAGCAGGGACTAATTAAGTACACCCGATCCCACTGCATATGATGGAATCTGAGGAGAAACAATTGCTCCGGAAGGTATAGGCGCAGGGGTAAATACCACCCATATATAGTTTGTCTAAAGATATAGGTCAAAATCTCAAATACGTCCAGAACTGTCGAGTGCGTGACAACGACGTTGAAAGGCAGATTTTCGACAATTGTGGGTACGTTTAAGCCAAGTTCTGGACTTGTTTCTTCAGATCAGCGGCGGTGGTTGCTCCGCCCATGTTTATGGGAGGAGGGAGGGCGTGCAGGAGTTCCTAGCACCTTTCCTCGCACCATCCTCGCACCAGCATTCACACCTTGGAGGGTTCTAGCACCTCCGTGCCTCAGAGGTCAAGCCCCGCCCATTGCTCCACCCAGTTACTAGTCTCATTGTGAGGTGTGCAAGCAGCGAGAACATAGATTCAGGTGTTGAGCTAATGAGAGAGAAATGGAGAAAAACGAGGGACATAGTTGTCATTTCCCAAGTGAGGCGGCTTGGAAACTTCTGCTATGCCATCCTTTTAGAAAGGAGCATTTGAACATTATTTTCAGAAGAAAAAAATCGCACAGAATTTTTTGGATAGAAAATCCGGTCCTTCGAAATATTGGAGGACCTGGTTGATCAATTGTACATTCTTGCCATCTGATTGAACCAATTTAGCATCAGGAGTTTGAGAACCCAATTACCTACTCAACATTAAAAGGAACTATTTTCAAAGTAGTGTATCAAAGTTTCCGAATAAACAACTGAACGCTTTCTCAAACAGTTAGGGTATCTTAACACATATACTTTTCTACTTTTGCCTGCCATCATCCGAATAAGTTTGCCAATTCCTCTAATGATCAATAAGATCCAAATTATTGAAAAGAAACTTTCAAGTGTAGTACTTCCTATCGATGTACTAGAATACCACCTTCGTCGCATAATCGAAGAGCTGACTAAGAGTTCCAAATACGACACTAAATTTTCAATCTATGGTAATTCGCTATATTCTTAGATGATTAGAGGTTTGAAATTGACTTAGTTCTCTGTTATATCACATACTGTGACTGAAAGACTCACAACTTTTGCTTGATTTATATTAATACGATATGCCTCACAAACCTCAAGCGCGATTACAAGTTTTCAAGGAAGCTTCATTTCAATCGAAAACATGAGTAAAAATAATTCGAAATGCTGGGATTCAGCTGCAATTATTAACGGATCTAAAACCTATTGAAACCTAGATTTTCGTTTCTCAATTTAAGTTCTCTCATCCTCATATCCAGTGAAGCACGCCTCACAGTGCGTGTAAACATTTTAAAATGAGGGCACCTAGAGGGATTAGTGGTGGGCGGAGCCGCCCTTTGACCCTGAGAAGGTGTGATGTCCTTCAAGGAATTTCTGGAGGTGTCAAGTACTCCTACGAGGAAAAGCGGCTAGGCTTTGGGAACTCCTGCCACGCCGCCTGGGAGGAGCAACCACCGCCGCTTTCACCTTCTTGAGCTATTTTCTAGCCTCTGACGTCATCTTTTTGCGATGGGACTTGGGAGATTAGTTAGTTAGGGGATTTGCATGTTATCAAGTATCATCCGCAGTTGGACGGTGCTCAAGAATAATCTCTCAGCCATAGCTAGTCAGGAATGCATAAACGCATAATGCATGGATGTTCAGTTCGGATTATTGGTGGTTGGGCATACATAAATTGTAATACTGGCCATAGCTGAGTGAATTAGAACTAGTATTCATGTTTTCAAAACAGCGTAAAATATGGGGGACTAATCTGCATGGATCACGAGCATGATGCAGTGCCTCAAAAAAGCTCTTATGTTATATTCTGCTCAATATATTTAGGGTAAGATCGATGATACATCCATTGCGCGAAAATCCCAATGTACAAGGGAAACACAAGCCAAGTCTCAAAAAACCACTCTGTAAAGCTTCTTGGGCAAGCTTTTGATGCGAACAACATGAGTCTCACGACTTAAATCGTTCGAACAACGTATTGTCCTCGCAAATAACTGCTAATTCTTAAGATCTGAGTTTCCACTTGATCTCACCACCATAGTCCTCAAAAGTACTGAGCGCTACACAAGGCGAAACTGCTTGTGTTTCAATCTCAAGTAACAACGTACTTATCGTCATGTAAATAATTGCGTTGTTTCTCTTGTGACCGAGTAAAGTACCAACATAGAGTTTATAATAGCTCAACGCCACTTTGTCTGCAAACTCAAATGCTGTAGTGGGTCTTTCCTTCCTGAGCTGTTACGAGCTCTTTTATTACTCTTGGCAGTGCTGTGCACTAGGGTAAGTGGGGCATTTGACAGCACAGAAAGCACCCAAACTTGCGCTCTGATGGCATATTCTTGCACTTCGGGCAGACGACGGGGGGAGGGAGGGGGGGGGGGACGTGAAGTTCAACTTGGAACGTGAAATCCGCTGTCAGCGCTAATTTTCCCTGCCTCATCGAGAGTTATCTCCGGACGAGCTGGTTTTTTGAGGATTGCAGAGAATCAAATCCCAATCTCCTCATCCCCACTTGGGAGCGGTGGTGACGATACGATCTTTTGATCTTGGCACAAACGACTTCGCAAAATCTTTTCGTAACTATATAGCAGAGTAGCAGTTAGCAGTAGCAGGGTTTTATTTTCGACTGTTTTGAAATAAGACAGCAATTTTGTACTGGAAGGGCGTAGCTTGCGCTTCCTCCAGAAAAACTGCAAACGATACTTCTTGGTCTTTGCGCAAGCTTTGGACCCTAGAAATTTACAGAGGAAGTTGTGTGTTTACAAGGCTGATTTGAATTTCTACAAATTTTCAAAAATTACTGAATTTTCTTCAAAAATATTGAACGACTGCGAATACAAGCAAATTATTTGCATAGTTCTCTCGCTTTCGAAAATGGGGAGTATTTTTGAAGGAAGTGGGGGGGGGGCCATATTGCGTCTTTATTTAAGCAGGCATATTTGAAAAGGTCTTGTTCATTTCAAAGCAATATGGGAATTCTTCTAAAACCGTAAACATTTCTGTCTCTTTTTCATGGAGCAAAATCAAAAAATTAACCAGTAAGTAGCTTAATCGTATCAAATTATCTCTAGAAGTCTGTGTTTCTTATTGCTCCCTTACGAAGACAATTATGTTCGACTTGAACCAGTTTCTTCTCGCTCTATCTGTCATTTCGCAATGGCCGAATCCACGTCGGTCGAAAGAGGCTCTTTGAGATCCCCAGAAGCTCTCCTTTTGTCCCGCCTGCTTTCAGTCTTCTTCTGCTCTCCGTTGCTCGAATAATTGCATTATTTGAGAGTCCCAGAGAGGAGAAGAAGGCGTGGCTCTCGAGGAATCGATGGGGCACACACTCGTCCGCCAAGCCTTCGACCAATATGGCTGGAACTGCCGATGCTGCGGTAAGTGCTTCTCATTTGCCTATGGTGCAGCTGTTAAGTCTACCAATAAAAACACGTATAATTGGTGCGAAGTGTTGTTAGTGCAGCTGCGGACTAGCTAATTGTCTAAACAAAGTAGAATTGTGATTCTTAACAATAGGGAAATGGAATAGATCTTATCAAGGAGCTCCAGTCTTTCTTGATTCGCGTACCTTGCGGCAAGTCCGTATTGCACTGAGGTTAGGGCAATACGGACTTGTGAATTTGTCATTGGAAATAGTGCTGGCCTGTAATCTTATAGAGAGGAACTTTTCTAAGATCAGTCGCTTACACTTTCGATCTTCAGCTTTAAAATTATGTAGTCTTCGTAGGACTGCCAAGAAGTATGCCTTGTTATACATTATTCGAAAGCTCTTGGAAAATACGTTCCAATTTTTGAACACCTGAGTTCAACTAAAGAACAGAATTCTCGGAACAAGAGAAACGCGTATCTTCGTACAGTAACGTATGATTCAGATTAGGGATCTGAGCCTTTTGATAAGCCGACCATTTGTGTATTTCGGCTATGAGTGTTTTCGGCCAAATGATTAAGCAAATATTCCCATTGTTCCCGAGATTTTTGAAACTGGAGACGGAGCATCTCTTTTGAGCTCTCCTTCGAAAAACCTGAGTCATAAGACGTACGTATTTGAAAGGTTTTAGAGTAGTGGTAGAATTAAAGAGTGTAATCAGCCTTAACTAAATGTGTTTTACTGTGGAAACAAGATTGCATGCATGTGCAACTCCAGGCAGAATGGATTAGGTATGTTGGGTGGGCAAATAAGTCTTCCTAAGCTTCAAAAACACACACTTGGGCGCACGTCACATGACATCAGGAGGGACTTGAGCTGAGACGATTTTAAGTCAGTAGTCTTTTTAAAGAAAAAGTTCATATGCAAGCAGTTCATCGACCGATTTAAGTTAACTAACCCATGTAGATCATGATGCATAGATAGGAAGTGGCAATCCGAGAAATTTTGGGTGTAGAAGGAAGATAGGTGGTCTGGCCTTATTTAGGAATGCTTCTCAACTCTTTCGCCAGCATCCGACTCATTCTGGGAAAGGCCGACTTCTTTTAGGCGGTTGACATTTTCTGAATTATACACAAAAATAAGCCGCTTGTGCAATTTCATAAATCCTGTAGTACGCTTTCGATAATTTTTCTTTTGGAAAGCGAGAGGAAGATTGAGAAGGTGACCGAAGACGTTTGCTAAGAAATTGTTTCTTCGAAATAAACGGGTATTACCTTTCACTAAATCGTTATTTTTTCCATCGCGCCATCTGAAGTAGCACATCAGCAGTGGTGCTTTTCCCCACTTTCCCCCTGGCTTACTAGAGCTTTCCATTTCGAAATTATTATGTGCAGCAGTCCGCATCATGTGCAGCTAAAATGACGCCAGTTGGTCGGCAACGCTTTCGCGCTGCTTAGAAAGCGAAAATAATGGTAACGTTCTCATAGCCTTCAGTGTCGTTAGCACAATTTAATTTTCATTCTTTGACTCACTTCGGAAATTAACTTTTCACGAAGAGTAGATCTTAATCGATGATGACACACTTTAGCACATCGCTTGATGTTTAACTTATAATGAGAACACGAATCCTGTGTGAGTTCAATTGCCCAACCTAGGTTCAAAAAGAGTACGTATGCAAATCCTTTCCAAGAGATTATTGATTCTCTACGCAGTTTCCTGTGTGCTCCTTCGAGCCATAATTCGCTATTCAAGCTGCGCGAATTGCCGAGTGGTTAGAATTATGCAGAATAGGTTCGATGAGGACAAGCGACGTCTACGCATAGCTGATAATGAAAGCAAAAGTTGCACAGAGATACGCTTGCTTCGCAAGAAAAGCGTTAATTACGCTCATCCCTTATTTGTGCAAAGGTTTACCTTAGGATTTTGTAAGTCCACCTACGTAGGAGCGAACTTGAGTGTCTTTCCAGTCTCCGAAGAGTCTCAGAAATTATAGGTAACAGCGTCAAAATCTCATCCAGTATATCTGACAAACGATCTCTATCTGGAGCCCTTGTAGCAGCTGAAACGGTCCTCAGAGATCGGTTAGAAGCAACCGTATCCTTGGTTAATCATGCGTTATCCAACGTAAACCACTTTTCTCTAACTATTATCAATGATTACCTCTAGGCACTATGGAAAGACTGATCTGTAGGTGGTCTTGATTTCAGACATTGCAAGCGTGCATCTTTTTCTTTTTCTGACTCGAAAAGATCTCAGGATAGGAAGTTCTTATAGTGTTTTCTTGTGCGAAGTGATCCAATTATATACAAAGATTTATCTTAGGATTTTGTAAGTCCACCTCCCCGAATTTTCCAGTCAAACTTTCTAATTACTTTGAAAACGCTTCCCATAGATGTCCTTGTAAGTCTTACAAGTTATTTTGCTTTGTACCTACATTTTACTAGTGTGAAATAGTCTTGGTAGAGCTTTGCCTCCACATGCTACAGTAACGTACTCCTCTTAAGCTGATTTGCCATATGATATTTGCTCCTGCACCTGAAATTGAGAGCATCTCACATATAAAGCTTTCTCAGTTAAGATTATAAATAATTCTCTCAGTTTTCTTCGCCGTTAGAATAGTTGGAGCGATTTTCAACTTTTTGACGACTGTGTGAGCCATCGATGGTCCACGGCACTTTTTTTCAAAAGTTTCCTTTCAAAACGTATTTATCCGTTGATCCCTGCCAAGAGGTTTTTATGAATAGCTCAATAAGCTTTTACTCCTGTGCTGTAATCACTAGGTAGGAGAGCAGTCACGTTGGAAGGCGAAGCATCAGAATCTCATTTTAAATGTGCTTTGAATTTCGCAGTGCCGTCAACGAGAAAGTATTGGATAATATCATACATCGCACTTAATCCATTTGAAGTTTTTGAGCCAGGGCTCGGCACGAGGTGGCTTTCGGAAAATGCAAAAAACGAAGTCTCCTTTAACTTTCCCAACATTTTATGAAGATTTCTTTGACCATAAACCATAACTATAAATAGTCTCAAAAAAGCGAACTTTGATAAAAAAAAATCCCGTGTCTTTTGGGCAACAAAAACGGAACTTCCTTTGCTTTCGGTCCCAAAAACGATATTCAGCTTGCTTACCAAGCCACTTGTGCTGAACCCTGTTCTGAGCTTGACAATCTGGCAAAGGCCAAGTTCTTACTATGTCCGAGATTTGACAGTTCAACAGAAGATTTTATATTGTGGAGTTGAAGTCTGGTGACGAGTGATATTAAAAATATTTGATTTCGTAGCTTCTCTGCAGGCATCACTGCAGCTTACACAGAGCAAGCCTGACCGGTTGTTGAGGCTATAAGCTGTGATTTTATAGTCAATATACGAAAATGTATGCTTTTTGCCCATTTCCGTACCCGGTAAAAAGCTTATTGCTTACGACATTATCGCTCACATTCACCCGTATCGGAAAGACAATTTATTCGTATGACTTCGTAAACTTATGACTTCGTATTCCGTGGACTGTTTGAATCCAGATTTAAGAGCATTACGGAGGGAAACCAAATAGATTTTGAGCCTGAAATCATCAAAATTGTGGGTCCATACTTTATAATTTGAAAGCGAACGCTGTAGCCTTCTTGAAATCACAGAGTAAGTGCTTGGAACTCTGTATTGTTTTAATTACTTGTGACGAAAGGTTCAAGAAGTGCAGCTTTGTTTTAGTCGTTCGGAAATGATCCGTGTGTGGCACAGCATGATGTTGTTTTACATATAACAAAGAGCTATGGAAAGAGCTTTTTGGTCTATGCGGCCTTTCCAAAAGAGTTCTATACCATTTGGAGAGAAATAAACACTGATTTCCAGGTCTTTTGCTGTGCCTGCTGTGCGCTTTAAACACCGAACTATGAGCAGTTTTTGGTATGAAATGGAAGTATGTGGGAACAAAATCAGTTAAGACTGCTCAAATGAGCCACTCTGTGTAAATGGGTGCCTTCTATCTAATTCCCCGTACTCATCAATGTTCTGTTTGGGACAGAATAGCAATCGGTTTTTACTTAGATTTAAAGTTCGTTCCTTTGGAAACAGCGGCCGGGGAAGTACAGCTTTCTATCCTTTAGACGCTCCACTAGCGCTACCAAGATTAATTATGAACTCAATGATGATGTGGCCAATACTTCAGATGCAAGAGAGCAGAAATCGCGCGTTGCTCGCGAGCGCTCGTCCTGCATTTATCACGAGCTGGGCCAAGCAATTTTGTCCCCGTCCGCTTCCCACATGCATCAACGACGGGGCTTTACATGACCTCAGCAATCGATTCAACCATGCCCGTAAATCTTCTTGAAGGGTTTTTCTCGATATAGAATTCACGAGAATTTGCGGTGCCCATTTGGGACAGCTGGCTGTGAGTGAAACTTTCGGACTTACTTGCAAATTTTTTGGGGTTTGGCAGGCTTTGTTTGAGATAGTGTAGAATGACTTCAACCTTCCCATATTCGTACTAACGTTTGGGCGCACAGCTTGTGGTAAGAAAGCTGGAAGAATTTCTTACTGAGGTGACATCTAAAGTTCATTTGAACTCCGTCAGTGTTAGCTTCTCCAAAGTTCAAGCACGAGTGCGGAATGACGAAATCGCGCTACTCAAGGTAGCAGACACTAGCGACATACGTACGTGCACAAAAAGAAAAACTTGTATCTTTTCGACTTTAGAAAAAGTCTCTTCCTCAATTTTGTATCAAAAAGATGGAAAGCTCTGCAATCTTATGCAAATACTTTTTTTGAAACTTTCTTAAAACTTCTTACAAGGAACGAAGTATCTGTATCTACCTCAGATTAGTTCCTGAAGACTTTTGCGGAAAACAGGGGAAAGGTAGCACAGAACAAAAAACGTTACTGATTAATTCTGTCTTCATTATGTAGTGTGAAAATGAGCAATGGCTTTTCGCTTTCACTCTATGCTTAGCAACTTTTGCGGGATTTTTCGATCTTGACTTCTTAGCAACGAAAGCTTGAAATCCATAGCAACTCTTGCTTTTCAACCTTGATTTTCTTCCAAACATAAAAGTCTTTTCTTACCAGTCATCGTCTAGCCGTGCAATGCGAAATATATGTGACATCGCCCATTATGACAGTGAGATTTCTGCTAAGGTGTTGTTTGCGTTTGTGTACCTAAAATTTAAGGCACTTTACATTTTCATAGTGACAAGTTCAAGTTCTTTAAGAATAAAAAGTTAGTGAAAGCGTCATGCTGAATGGAGAAATTTTTGCTTGCACCATTTAAGTCACAGAGACAGACCTGCCTGTTAGAAATAAAATACGAAAGTGAAAGTAGGGGCGGTTTGAGTGTATCGTGGTTATTATTATAACACGGAGATGTGACTTAGATGGTGAGGAGAAAAATGTTCTTTTTGCTTTTAAACATCGTGAGGTTAAGAGACCATATGAACCAGTCACAACATCTTTCCCCACATGCGATAAGACAAATTCCTCTTTGCAGAAGAACGCTCTGAGCTCAATTTTCGACAAGACAAAGGACGTGCTTTCCACTGCAGGTAAGGAGAAAGTGACCTTTTTAACATTCTCAGCTGCTTCTCCGAGTGTTCATTTGAATAATTTGTACTATTTTGTCGAAACGATGTAGAATACCAAATTGATTCCACCTTTCTTGGAAAGTCAAGCGAGCAAACCAAGCACATTTATTTTAGCGGAAACGACTAAGGGCTACGCTTCACAAGCTCAGCAGGCGCTTGGAAAAATTATACCAGGGGCGAACAACCAGGAGCAGGTCCCCGACGTAGTAAGTTGCTTTTATTAGCTTAAAAGTCAGTCTAAAGGCCACGCTTAGTTTTTATACTGCAGTAACGTCAATATTCTTGATGAAACAAAAACAAAAGTAGAATATCTCATAAGCTCTGGGAGCTAGAAAACACCTATCGATTCTAGGCGGCCGCTACCGCTCCTGGACAACCACAGACCATCGATCCAACCATCACGGCCACAACTCAGTGAAGAACCAAATTGAAATTAAATACATCTACTTATGTAAGCTAATCGCACTAAGCATGTTTCCACTTTGTCACGATCTGATATATAATCATCTGTGCCGATATATACCCATGCTGAAATTTTCTTAATATTCAGAAATGATCTCTATCGAATAGCTAGTATTTTATCATGAAGAACGTAGATTTTTATGAATAAACTGTCCCATCTAAGCTTTTTCTGAGCAAATTTGTCTGAAAGGTCTTCCCAAGTGTTTTTTAGTTTTTCGGTTGCAAAAACTTTGGCCATTCGAACTGGAAAATTCCAATAAAAACATCATAATCGGGAAAACGACCAGCTCAACGCATTCATTCTGGTGAACTACAAATAAGCAGGTGACAAAGCCAAAAGTAATTTATTCGGAAGCATCTATCCAAATAGGTCGTAATTCTCATTAGAAACAAATGGTCTGAAAATTAGCTACTAAAGCCAAAAGTCAGTAGCATGTAATAGTGGGGATGGGAGGGGAAAGGGTGGGAGATTTCTATGCTGGTCGTCTTCGCTCCAACATTTGAGCGGAGCACTTAAAATGTTTAGAAAATTATTCAAAATTTAGATCAACTGAACAAAATTCCTTCATTACAGCACAAAAAATTTGTACTTATCCCGAAAGTTTTTTGAGAAGCGTGTCGTCCCCTCACACAGTGAAAGAAACCGAAGCTTTTGTCGTACAAATTCTATGGTTTTTTCAACCGTGCCAAAAAAATCCAAATTATGGTATTTGAAGCGGTCAATGCTTGATTTTGCAAAATCAAGGTTTGATGAAAAACTTCCTCGAAGCTCCGAGTTCGAACATTTTTAGGGCTTGAGGCATTTTTGTTTTATTCTCTAATCTTTCTGGAATTAAGGGCTTCTGGAAAAAACGATTTTAAAAAGGTTTGAAAAGCTAATTTCGAAAGGCTCAAAACACATTTGCACTGAGCAAGGTTTGTTGGGTATTTGTGTAGTCGAAGTTCCAATCTTTGAATTGAAGATTTTGAGAATTATCCGAATTAGAAGCGGCGGGTTTGGAGTACTGAATATTTTAAAGTAACCTGAGAGAAATTAGTCCGATTATATGATTGCTGAAAATAGTAAGAAAAGTTACGTTTGACACATTTAGAGTCCTTGGCTCGCCATTCTACGCGATTTGCGGAAAGATTAAAATGGAGCGTGAAAGTTTTCATTACTTTTGACTCAACGTAGTATATAGGAGGGCGAAGTTGCCTGAGATGGCCCTTTAAAAATTTGAAGCAAATCGAAGAAGACAACCTGCTCCCGGGCTTCTCCTGGAATTAATCTCCTACATCTCCACACTGCATTCGCACGATGTTTGACTGCTACGTACGCACACGTGTCTTCTTCATTCCTACTCTGAAACTTGCTTTAGGAATGCCGCATAGAGCGACCGTTGGATGCATATTTGCATACGCGCGAACACGCCGTGTGTGTGTGTGTGTGTGTGTGTGTGTGTGTGTGTGTGTGTGTGTGTGTGTGTGTGTGTGTGTGTGTGTGTGTGTGTGTGTGTGTGTGTGTGTGTGTGTGTGTGTGTGTGTGTGTGTGTGTGTGTGTGTGTGTGTGTGTGTGTGTGTGTGTGTGTGTGTGTGTGTGTGTGTGTGTGTGTGTGTGTGTGTGTGTGTGTGTGTGTGTGTGTGTGTGTGTGTGTGTGTGTGTGTGTGTGTGTGTGTGTGTGTGTGTGTGTGTGTGTGTGTGTGTGTGTGTGTGTGTGTGTGTGTGTGTGTGTGTGTGTGTGTGTGTGTGTGTGTGTGTGTGTGTGTGTGTGTGTGTGTGTGTGTGTGTGTGTGTGTGTGTGTGTGTGTGTGTGTGTGTGTGTGTGTGTGATAGAATAAGTTGCAAGCCCACATCACTAACCACAATCATGCATAAATAACACACGTCACACGTATGGGATTGTGACTTCTTTGACGGGTATATCTGCAGGCCACATAATAGCTTGAGAGTGAATTAAAAAGGTATTTGCGGAATGGAAGCCAAAAATGATTGTTAGGCCAGATTAGCCACTGTTTTACCTATAGGTTTGGGGAGAATTGAGACTCAGAGGTGTAGCTCACGTTGATCTTTGTCCTGGTGGGCACTATCAAGCGATAACAGATTCGATAACTGTTACAAACTCGCGTTATGCAGAAAAGTTTATTTTCTTTAAGGTTACCAATTTTACATAGAAAAGCTTTCGTATGAGAGGTTGAAATTCATTCATGATGGTCAGCAGTGCACTGGGAGTTTGCCATCATTATTCAAGCACCTGAAGTCATATAGATGGAACTAGTGCGCGCCTCTGCCAAGCAGAGGTGGAGCATTGTTTATTGGTGATTCTACAAAAGTGTGAAGGAGTTCGAACGACACACCGATATTATCCCAAAAATTGGGACTTGGATAAAGTGGCTGATTGCAAGGCTTTTGTCGGTCATCTTGCTCTCAAGTATAAGGGATTGGCCATAGTTTGCCCGTGTTGCCGGTGTTGAAAGTGTTGAAAATGTTGCCGGTGTTGAAAGTGTTGAATGAGAAAATCACTGCTTTTGCAGTTCATTCTTTTTGGGGCGATCTCACCGGCTGGTGAGTACGTTTGAAAAGGAGGTGGGAAATGAGTAATGAAATCAAAATGAAGTGGGAAATGCTTTCGCATGCAAAAACCTCATACAAACTTTTGGCTAACTTGATTTGAATAGGCAATCCCCAACATTTGAGAACGTTGCCAAAGTCTGATGAGTATTAGGTTTTGAGTGTCGAATACGACGCTTCTGCGATTAGAAAAGACCTACCTATGGGAGGTCTTGCAGCGCTCTCAAATGTTGGAAATTGCCTATTTAAATCAAGTTCTCTACTTTACAAAAAGTTTGTATGAGGTTTTAGCATGCAAAGGCATGTCCCATATCATTTTAATTTCATTCGTCATTTCTCACTTCCATTTCAGTCGTACTCACCGGCCGGTAAGATCGCTCTAGAAAGAATGAACTGCAAAACTAGTGATTTCACATTCAACGTTTTCAACACCGGCAACACTTTCAACACCGGCAACACGAGGGCCAACTATGGCCAATCCCTAACGAGTCAATGATCTATAGGCTTTTGACCAGTCAATCGATCATAACCATGATAATATTTGATAGCTGCAAAACTCACAGAAATAGCTTTGGCAACCTCTTCACAATTTTGAAAACTCTTAATACTGCTTGTTAGAAATTTCGTACGTGGAATCTCAAAATTGGACTTTTCCCCAATCAGAGCTGCGCAGATGAAAAATGGTTGGCGCTAGTTTGACGCCCACATTCGTTTGAAAGGAAAAAATAGTAGATTTGCTCAATCAGTCTCCTGCTGAGAAGAATTGATACCTGTCCAGGTTTAACATGGCAGCAATCGACCACTTTCTTCTGCAAACACGTCATCAACCGGAAGAATTGGTGCGGGTGTTTCACCACATGTACCGGGAGTAGCGCCAGGTAATGGTATCAAGCAAGAAACAGGCAAAACGCGAACTGACACCGCCAATATCGACCATCAAATTGGCGATTTACGTTGGAATCTCGAGCAACTAGTTATATTCCCGAAGCAAGGCTTTGGTTACGCATCCCTACCAAAAACATTAGCCATCAACTGATCAGCAAAGATGCAACTGCAATGAAATTGCATATCACAGCAACATGACTTTATCACTCCCATCATCAAAAGCTCAAGTAATGCGGTAGAATGCATTTTTTCAGCTATCTATCATTTTGGTGGTGGCAACTTGCCTCGCGGTCTCCCATTATGTCGAAGGTGCGCATCATTTGGGTCCCCACATAATTTGGGCTTTGCCAGGTGCTTTCATCCATACTTATACTACACATAGAGTGCGTTATTTGTGTAACTTCCCCGAACTAATATCGCATATCTTCCATATATTTAGAATGCTCTCATGAAGCGCTACAAACGATTGAGACATTGCCGAATAGCGTGGCGAATGAGACCACGATGTGGCTATATGCTGCGCTTTGAAAAGCATGCCAACAACGTATCTACGCAAATAACCGAGTGACCCAACATGATTCAGTATCACTAATACCTCATGACAAAAAAGTCATTAAAAGCGATGCTTAAGCAAATCGAAAGCAGTCTTACTTTCGTGACGCTAAGAAGCGTAGGCTTTGATTTGATGAAGAGGATAAAGTAACTTTCCCCCCCCCCCCCCCCCTTCGAGAGAGAAACTGGATGTTTCTTGCGGTAAAGAAGGGAGCGCTCGTGATGCAAAGTTCCTCCCAGTCGCCAGTGTTGGCGACTACACATTAAATGTGTATCGATTGGACGTGTGGTAACTTGTTGGCGATCGATACGCATTGAAGAACAGTCGCCAGTATTGGCGACTGGCGATCGCCCGTCGTAGCGATTGGCCATCGCCCGTCGCCATGCTATACTCCTCGAGGAGTACAGCGCCTGCCTTAAAGGGCAAAAACGCCCATACATTGTGATGACCCATTGAGGAGGACGATTTAATGAAGCACTATGAGCTAAAAGGTGAAGAAGGTGACTATGGCCTAACTTTTAAAGCAAACTTGAAGCGCTTCAAAGATCACCAAGCTACTCAAAAAAAGAGGAGATGTAAGAATGCATCTTTTTGGGATGCATTTTATCAGCAATGTTTATAGCAGAAGGATAATAATCAAGAATGGGATAATTTATTATAATAACGGGCTAAGGATGTTTACGTGACTTTGTGTGTGTGTCTGTCTGTGTGTGTGTGTGAGAGTGTGTCTGTTACGAAATTCGTGGAGCGTGTTCCCGCCAGCGTTCTAAGCCCAAATTTTGCATAGCGCATGCTACCTTCATGAAAGTTCAACATGCAAAAGCATGAGTAAATTCCTTGAGTGGATCCCTCAGAAATTGCGCGCCAAACGGGTCCACCTGGCTTCTGTACCGCAAAATTCGGTCCATATCACCACTTTTTGCAGAGTCGTGGATGAGTTTGGTAAGCAAATGTGCAAGCGATGGAGCTTAGCCCGAGAAATGGTCGAAAGTTTACTACATAACGAAAACGGCGCCAAAAAGAATTGGTTGTGTAAATGGTCAATTTGCCAAGGTTCTAGCTACGCGTTTGAGAAGATTTTCGCACAGGGATGTAGCTCACGGCTACTATTACCTCTATGGCGACTACCAAGCCATGACAAATCCAAAAACCTATTCAAATTTGCGTTTGTCTTCCTACGAAAAGTTTCATCCACGCGAAGTCACCGATCTCACGTGAAAAAACTTTCTAAATGAGTTATTGTTTACATTTTATTCGTGATAGGCGGCATAGCGCGGTGAGTTCCAGTGCCACGATTTTACGAGAATGAGTAATGCCACGATTTTACGGGAATGAGTAAGGCACATAGATAGTAGAGCCAGTGCGAGCCTCTGCGAAGCAGAGGTGACGCACTGGTAATTACTAATCAAGTAGGCACACATTTGGTTGGTAAATAAGGCTCAACTTTTCATGAGTCGTTGCACCCAGTGCTCCGATGCTCATAGGCGTTGTCTTTCTTCCTTTCATTGAGTTTCCGCGAAACGGACTGTGGCAGGGAAGAGAAAAGGATTGCTGCTATGCGCGAACCTGTCTAAACTCTCAATCTTATACTCCGCTTACAGCGCCATTTCGTTCTTCACAGACCTCCGACAATCTCTCTCCGTTGGTAGCGGCCTCTTTTCAGTTAAGGAAGCAACCAATTTCAATTTAGCAGCTGCTCTTGGAGAGTAGTAGTTGATGATGCTGCTGGTCTCTGAGGTGGAGGTGCCAGGCGATAAGATCATGTGTGAATCGATGAAATGAACACTGGATGGATCCGCGGCAAAGCTGACCCCTCCCACTTTGACGGATAGAGTTACCAGACCGTGCACTTGCCCTCCAAAAGGGAGGTGGCCTACCCTGTAAATTGAAGAATCGTCAACAGTTTTTACCTACAACCAGACAGAACCCTATCTAATTCCCTTAGCTAAGCAGTCGTCAAAGTTAAAAGGCGCAAACATCGAATTCCACACCCCGCATAGGACGAGTCTTGGCCTACATCGTTCGACATTTGTGTTACCTTCACAGACAGCCTAGGACAACAGCTGACCAAACTAATAGAAAATGCAACAGCGTCCATAAAAGGGCCGAAAGTGACGCCAGCCTTGAGTGTAGTTTTTTGAAGATTATTCAGTTTTCCAAAATAAACAAAGATAAGCCGTTTTGGGTACCGGTAGTGCGTTGGCGCATACATAAAACATTCAGACTGCATCATGAACTATATCGCGTAATATGATCCATGAGAGGCCTTTATGACTTCGGCCAGCGCATATGCCACAATCTTATATGGTTGCAACGTGCGTTTTATCTCATTGTCAGTGTAAAATAAACTCTCTTTGAGGTTGCGAAGAAAAAAGGTCGTCATCGAAAAAAGGCTTTTCTGCAAGAGACAGTAGAGCAAGAGGAAGATGTGCCAAAATCGGTGAATTACTACTAATTAGATAATACTTTGTCAAGTGCCGACTTCAGCCAATCGCACAAAAAGGCGGAAAATCACCAAACCGAAAAAAGCGACAACCTCCGCCCGAAATTGCAGAAGGCTTGGACAAATTTTTTGATTACATTTCCGAATTAGGTATGTCTCTTAGTCAGTACCATTGAAATCGAACGACGTACAATTTGAAATTTCAAACATGAAGAAAGTTTTTGGATACCCTATTCATCATAAAATTGGTGGCTATTAATCCGCAATCAAATCAAATAGAGAAATAATCGAAACAGGCCATGAGGGGCTATGTAGAGATAGCCATGAGAAACAGATATCAAAGATAAAATTGCCATCTGTAGTCGCTGAATAGCCGCACATTCTATTGCTTCTGTTTTGTAGTCAATAATCTGAACATGACTTGAGTGAGAATTTCTTGGAAGTTTGCCAAATTCAACATTAATATAATTGTTATATTAATTATTATTATTATTATATATTATGTTATTATTATAATAAAGCAGACTAATAATGATGTCATGCGGTACGCGCTGCAGGATGTCTAAGGCTACCCAAACGGTCAAAGTCTATTGCACGAAATCGCCCATATCGCTGTAGGTTAAATCCACGCGAACGCCCTGCAACGTGTTTGACGAGTATAGGCGCTATGATGACTCATGCGCACGAATGCCAATGTAAGCCCGTAAGAGACACCCTCGGGGCTTACATTGGCTTTGGTTCAGGCTGGGCAATTCCACAGTCAACTAAACCCCGAGGTGCAGCGGCATACGTTGAAGTACGCCAATTTACCAAAGCGGCATTCAATCCTTTCATGTAACTTGAGCACTGTCATTTTTCAACAGTATTGTCCCAATTATCAGAACTTTTTGAGACCATATCCTATAACAAACCAGGGATAGGTCCATGAAATAATGGTTCTCTTATTCTGGTTGTTACAGTCTTTTCCAACACGGAGTAGACGAAACGTTCCAGGTGGAGCACCGCGCTACCACTGACTCAGCGAGATAGATTAGAATGTAGAGACGCAGGCTGCAGTTGAAACTTACTATATATGAGGTGGAAATGAAAAGAGTTTGAACGCTCCATGCTTTTACTGAGGGGTACAAAAAGAAATTGATTCAGCACATGGAATGCACGCCAAAAGGAGGCTAGCTTTTAATGTGCTTTCAGATATATCCTAGGGAAGGGAAGTTCGCCGAATCGAAATGGCCGATTGATACGTGGTATATACCCGGACGCGAGGCTCGGAAGGTTAGTATCAAATGTGCGCCCATTAGCTGCGACGCGTTATTGTGAAGCAAGTTATGGCCCTCTGAAGTTTTTGGCGTGTGCATGTCTAGAGAAGCACAAATGCTCCGATTGTGGTCGTGTGGTGTAGTGGTTAGCGCCTCGGACTCACAGGTGACCGGTGAGGGTTCGAATCCTGTTGCTGTCCACATGTTTTGCGTTCTTCTCAAAAATCATTTTTTGCCTGTTTTATGTATTATTGAGGTAAAAAATGACACACACGGGTTACGGGATGATTTTTCTCACCAAAATTCGACCAATGCTTCATATGTAAGGTTTTCGTAGAACATAGCAACGACTTTTTAGCAAGGCTTTTCAATTGACTTTGAAGATTTGCCAAATCCTCACTCCCACATACTTTCTTCGATTGCACGTAATATTTAATTGACAATCTCCAGTATCACGTCGTACTATTGATTCTTGCTAATGGGTTACCTTGTGAGAATGACACGGCAGGATGTATAATTAGTAGAGTTTAACCACCCGTATGTGTCATTTTTTACGTCAGTAATGCATAAAACAGGTAAAAAATGAATTTTGAGAAGAACGCAAAACATGTGGACAGCAACAGGATTCGAACCCTCAACGGTCACCTGTGAGTCCGAAACGCTAAGGCTGCGTTCATACTGATTTCGTAATCCGGGAACAGTCCCAGCACGACGCTCACTTTGAGCGCTGTGCTGGAACTGTTCCCGAACTTTGGGATCAGTATGAACGCAGCCTAATCACTACACCACACGACCACAACCGGAGCATTTGTGCGTCCTCTAGACATGCACACGCCAAAAACTTCAGAGGGCCATAACTTGCTACACAATAACGCGTCGCAGCTAATGGGCGCACATTTGATACAAACCTCCCGAGCCCCGCGTCCGGGTGTATACCACGTATCCATCGGCCATTTCGATTCGGCGAACTTCCCTTGTAAGTGACCGCTGCCGTTTCATATTTAAAGTATGTCGTGACATTGAAAACGTTAGTTTTTGCCTCTCGCGAAAGCGGTGTTATAGCGTCATTCCTATTCAAAGTTGAAGCTATTGCAAGAATATGAGTGATGGCCGCGAGTGGAAGAAGGTTTAGTGGTAAGTGTGGAAGATATTTACGCAGAGGAGCCTGTTTGATCTTCGAGGATGCGGATAAGGATACTTTGTGTTCACTTCGACGAGTACTTTCCTTAAAAAAGTTGATAACAACATAGTTTTGAAAGCAGTTTTTCAAAGCAAGCCTTTTTGTATGGTGTGGACCCCGGCCAGGTTCCCATAGGTACCTCCGCGGCGCGCCCGCAGCGCATGCCTTCAGTGCGCTTTTCGTTTCGGCTCTGAAGGGATTTCTTTCAGTTTCCTCTTTCAAGTGTGTTTGTTCTCTTCTGTAATCTCTACTTTAGATGTAAACGACTCACGTCAACTGCTGGTGATGGATTTTTACGAGTCTTGACAGTCTTGCAAGCATTTGTTTCGAAAATCTCGTTTTTTTCTCAATAGTGAAGATTTCAGTGTAGTTCAGGGACATATCTCTCCAAAGGTTCTTCAGAATAAGTGTATATGCAGTTGATTTTGTGGAGTGTAGATGCTTCTAGCCTTTTGATTACGCCATCAGGGCTTTGCAGTCGTGCTCTTGAGCTCAAACTTTTTGGGTTTTTTTATGACCAGAAGGAAAACTTTTCAAAATTGTTCTTCGACTTTTCCTGTTACTTCTATCATCCATCGCTGGTAGTGTCATACACTACTAGCGATGGATTATAGAAGATTCCAGTCATCTATGAGATTGACTGGAATCTGAGCGCTAGTAGTAGAAGTTGTGAAGGTTCTCCTATTGCCTTGGCTTTTCTCGTGTTCGGATTAGAGGCCTCCACATCTCATTTCACTCCTGTTTTCGGTTATAATGCTTTTTTGTTCGTAAGTGAAATGAGAAGCGTCAAGTCGGGCGCGCGTTGCGTGTGCGCCGCGCTAGTACCTATGGGAAGCTGGCCGGGGTCCACACTATATACAATTTACTAAAACTGATTTGTGAGCAAGAAAAGCTTACCAGTCAATGTTTTTCGCAAAGTTTAGGCCTATGCAGAGTACGTTAGGTTCATACTCGGCGTACGTCGAAAACGAGATTACAGAGTGTACACGCTGCCTCGCTCGCACCGACATATTGATAATGTCATTTTGACTTGATTGCTTTCGGCACCGCGCATGGCAGTCCGGTTTTACTGTACCGGTCCGTGCATGCGTTGATGGCGTGCGAAACGTGCCTGCTGCCTTTACGGCATATGCTCTGAATCCTGGCTCAAGGGTTAGAAACCACACATGCCAGAACTGGGTTCGCATACGATACAAGAAACCGGAAACGACGGATTTCGCTCAGTTAGAAATCTTCGTCCTTTATCAGGGGGATCGTGCAATTTATCATCACATCCCATTGGAAATTAGATGAAAAAACAACGACATGTACGCGTGCACTATACAAGTTTTCCCATGCTGTGCAATCCTATCGCCTATCTCACACTTTTACTCTTGCAGAAGTTTCAGGTGTAGGTGGAATCAAAAAGTTATACAACGAGACTCTCTCTGCATACCGTGCCCCAGACAACTTGTATAAATATGCGGAGTTCGAAAAGAACAAAGATAAAAATCGTTTTTTGGTAAGGATGTGATAGCACTATGCAGTGCACTTAATAGCCAATCTTTGCAGGACGTTGTTTGCCTCGATCACTCACGTGTTGTTCTCACCTTGGACGTTCCACCATGCACAAATTATATCCATGCTAACTGGGTGCGATTTGATAAACATGATCGAGTGTTTATCGCCACACAGGTACCCCTCAGCTCACGAGGAAATGGTCAGAAGTCGAAGTGACCAATCCATACAAGCTGCATACCATACGATGCAGCACAAAACGCTGATTTCAAATCTGTCTTCCATATCTGCAGAGCGCTTTTGTAAGCGAAGTTATGATCAGCTTTACTGCGAAAAAACCGAATACAAAAATTGCAAAATTAGGCACATTACTGCTCTTTCAGCTCAACTTTAGGTACGGGTCATATGAAGGGACCTAGTTGTATGTTTTGGTCCAACGCTGAGCCGAGAATGGCTTTGTGCTGCCAAGTTTGCACTTTATACGCACAATTTCTTAGCAAAATGATGGCCTTCAACGGTTTATAACTTCGTCCACAAAAGCGCTCTGCAGATAAGGAAGACAGATTTTGAGTCAGCGTTTTATGCTGCATCTAATGGTATGCAGCTTGTTTGGATTGGCCACTTCGACTTCTGACCATTCCCTTGTCAGGGCACTATAGAGATCATCGATCGTGCGGACTTACTAAAGTGTTTGTCGAAATTACAAGAATTTGTGGTTTTCAATAGTGATTTATGGTTTTGTGGCATATACAGGGTGTCCGTAAAGTATGTATACTTTATTTATTTATTTATTCATACGCACTTCGGCGTGCTATCAATCCAAAAACTGCTAACACGAAGATACTAAGGAGAGCCGCAATGAAAATGAAGAAGTAAACACAAAACAAACAAACAAAAAAACCACCGAATATTTTTTCTGACCAGCACATAAAGCTACAACATATGGGTGGGACCAGAGATAAGCTGAAGGGACATACTACCGAGTAGTGTGATTTTTAGACTAAAAATTTCGTATATCCACTTACCCTCACCAGCCAACAGACATGAAAGTGGGCAAACAGTGGGGGCGGGAGCAGAAGCTCGGCAAACGGATACGCCGGCAGCCCCCGCCGACATACCCAGACGGGTACACCGGTAGGGGGCCACCAGCATACCCGCTCACCAAACCTCCGCATCACCCCCACCATCCGGCCACCACCATCCCGGTGGGCAGGAAAGGGAAAGCAGCCCTACGAAGAATAACTAAAGAGTGCCTACACTAACTCATGTATGCCGCCTAGAGCTTACTAGTCCACCCGCAAGAACACACATATCGTAGCCGGGTCTCGACTAAACAAGGTGGTCACGCAGACTTAGCAGGTCTAGTACGGCCTGAGCAGAAGCAGAAAGACATAATAAAGACAATCCAAACGGAAAAAAACAGAGCTAAAAATAACATTGAAGGAATCGGAAAGGAAGGAAGTAAAATGTAGTTGGATGGGTGTAGACATCATCATTTAACGTCGCGTAGCTGAAGTAACTCAAGAACGTCGATCTTGGACAGGGCTTTTTTGAAAGTGGCAGAATTTTTCTGAAGTAGAAGTGCAGGGGGCAAACACTCAATCCATTTAGCTGTTCTGAAAGCAAATGTGCTTAATCTGCGTTGACGACATGAGGTGGGCAGCTTAGGGTAGCGAAAAGCAATGAGAGAGCGCCTTCCATAAACGGGACGAAATGACCAAAAATTAGAAGGCTTCAGGCGAAGTTCGCCTTTGAGTATTTTGAATGCAAAAATCAAATCCATTTGAACTCTTCTATAGTACAAACTTTTCAAGTTGAGCTTTTGCAGACGGGTGCTATACGAAGGGAGGCTTTGCGGATAACTTTCATCCGGAAAGGCACGATAGTATAGCACTCTGGTAAACGTCCTTTGTATGCTTTCAATTTTCTCTATATCTTTAGAGAGATAAGGACACCAAATAGAACTACAATACTCAACCAAGGGTAAAATGAACATTTTATAAAGCTTGATCCAAAGAGACACATCATTACTGTATATATTTCTGAATAGACAGTGCATTACCCTCAAGCTTTTCCTTACAATGGAATCGATATGATTGCTGAAGCTCAGACCTTTTGATATTAGAACGCCGAGGTCACGTACTTCATCAACAACACTCATGGTACCGACGTGGTTATCAATTTTCAAGCAGTCCTTTCCGATAGGAAAAAGATGACTTTTATGAAAGTTCACCGTCAGATGCCATCGTCGCGTCCATTCAAAAATGCGCTGAACAGCTTCGTTAAGCGCAGCTTGAACTTCAGTTTTATCATCTTCACTATAAATAGCTGTGACCTTGATGTCATCAGCATACGCATGGACAAAGATTCTTGTATCAGTTTTCAAAAAGGAGGGAAGGTCATAAGTATATAAGAGAAAGAGTATAGGAGAGAGGATGCCTCCCTGGGGTACCCCAGAAGGACATTCCCTCGGAAAGGAGAAGTCTTGAGAGAAACGCACTATCATTTTTCTGCCACTTAGGTAAGAGCGAAACCATTCAAGCAAGCCACCACGTATACCTATACTGTGAAGTTTGGCTAAAAGGCTTCCATGGCAGACCTTATCAAAGGCTTTGCTGAGATCAAAGTAAACTACATCAACTTCTTTACCTTGACTCAAAGCCTTATTCCAAAGGTGAGTGCTATCTATCAGTTGCGTACAAGTAGACGAGCCTGATAGAAAGCCATATTGTTCATTGGGAATGAGTTTGATAGTATCAATCCACTCAAGCAAATTCTTTTTGATGAACTTTTCTAATACCTTCAGTGGCGCTGGCAGTATGCTAATCGGGCGATGATTCGAAATAAGATTAGAGTTTTCCTTCTTGGGGATCGGCGTAACCACTGCCGCTTTCCAAGCCAGGGGAATCTCACCCGTCATTAGCGAAATATTAAAGATATGTGTCAAAGGTAGGGAAAGCTGTGCTGCAAACATTTTGAAAAACATTTGCGGCACCCCGTCAGACGTAATAGATTGCGATGGCTTGAGCGTTTTAAGATTTGAAAACAACTTCTGATGTAATGATAGGCAACTCAAAACTCTGCGTTGTAAATTCACTCAAATTAACAAATGGTTCATTTTGTTTTGTGAATGTACTCTCAAAAAAATTTGCAAAAGCCTCAGCTTTCTCAAAACCTGTGCTGTATTTTGACCCATCGTCGCCAAAAAGCACCGGCAAGGCAGGTGAACACTTCGTTCTATATCTGATATAGGAAATTATATGTTTCATGTACTTGCTATTGGCTAATCTTCTTATCCTATAAGCCATGTATCTTTTTAGGTGATGGTCTAATTTTTTGCTTATATCTTTGTAGTGGGCACAGTTCAAGGGATCAGGCGTACTGTAAAACACTCTTTGTCTCTGTTCAAAAAGATTCAAGATATGCACAGGGTACTTGAAAGTGGCATTATGCTTTTGGGTTTTCATCGGGACATATCTCTTCATGATGTAATGCACAATACAGAGAAATCGATTGTAGACGTCATTGACGTCTCTGAAGTTTCTGAATACTTCATACCAATTGATGGCAGAAAGTGAACTCTCAATTTTGCTCACATCGGCACTCTTAAAATCAAAACATGGCAGGAATGGACATTCAAGAGTAGGCATCGAGATAGAGAAGCCCACAATGTTATGATCGGACGAACTCATTGGTGGGAGAATGGTAAAATTGGTCAAGAAATCAGCATTTGTTAAAACTACGTCCAATATGTGCCCTCCCCGCGTTGGAAGATCAACGCATTGCGTTAAACATAAGGCATCAAAAGCGGAAAGGAATTTATACCCTGTGGCATTGGAGGCACTTTTATTTGCCCAATCAATCGAAAGATTCAAATCACCCGCCAATACAGACCTGACTCTGCAAGAAGAAACAAGATCAGAAATCAGAGAGAGAAGAAGGTCATCCTGCCTAGCACTGCTTTGCGGCGGTCGATAGACCAAAATAAATCGATAAGTCTCACCTTGAACAAGAGGATTCAAAAGAAAATCGAAACAAATAATGTCTGCACTCAAATCTTTCATTGAAAAGCTAACCTCCTCAAAAAGTACTGTATCATGTATCATAGCGCAAACACCTCCACCCTTTCTGCCCTTGCGATCTTTTCTAAGCAGCACATACGGAGTATTTCCACGTAACTCTCCATCACTAATGTTTGAATTCAGCCAAGTCTCAGTAATGAGCAGAAGTGCTGGCTTAGAGGTGGACAAGAAGTGGTGGAGGTGAGGTATCTTATTCTTTATACTACGAGCATTGAAAAGGTAACAATTTTTCAAAATCAGTTTTTTGACAAATTTTTGTTGTAGATGTCAGAGGCCCTAATGACCTCCCCTTTATAGACAACATATACTCGCTTACCTTCCTTTTGATTTAGTTCTCTAGCATTATTGCGTAATTCTCTATCACGTTGTCTTTCTTCAGGTGTCATCGATCTTCTCACGTACACGTTCTTGTACACCGAATTGTTTTTTAGCCGACGACACTTAGAAAGCATATCTAAGCAGAAAAATTTGTTTGGAAACACACATTTAACAAGCCTGGGTTTTCCCTCCCTAACCCTCCCCATACGAAATATTTGCGTAGGTCGCGACTCTACATCCAGAGTGTTAAGCATACCGAGGACGAAGTTCTCGGTATGCTCCTGACGCGATAGCGCCGGCAACTCGGGGTTGCCTTCCGGCACCCCATAAATGACGACCGATCTATCACGTTTTTCTGCATCAACTAAACTACCCGATAAAGAAGATAACTTACTGACGAATTCTTCCAGTAAAGGAATGACTTCCGGGGCCTTTGCGCTAACAATGGAATGAATATGCTCTAGTAGTTGAGCTGTTTGGTCGTCCATCATCGGAAGGGCTTTGGTGACGAGGGGAGACGAAGGCTTCCTCTTTTTAGGAAGTTGCGGCAAGGGAGTGGACATGGGAGTAGTGGACATGGCGGATCAATCAAAAAACGCACCGCTCGGCGTGACCGCAGGAGGGGTGAATGACCGCAGGAGGGGTGAATGACCGCAGGAGGGGTGAATGACCGCAGGAGGGGTGAATGACCGCAGGAGGGGTGAATGACCGTACACTGTTTGATCCTTAATATCTCTTTTTCCAAGAAGTCTTTTGCCTTGCTTCAGGTACCATTTTGTAGAGGTGGCTTCAACTTAGATTTACAGTATAGAGCGAATCGTCCATCTTTCTCCTTTACTGTAGGATTACGGTAGAAAGTTGAAAGAGGGTTTTGAGCCATGAAAGGCCATATTTTGCCTCAGAAAACAGACAAAACAGCCTGAAAACTTTTACACTAGGCTAATTGGAGTTGCTGATTCTAACTGTAAAGTTACCAACTTATTGTGATGCTTCATTGAAGAGTTATGCCAGGTAAGAGGTAGCGGCCATTTTTTCAATGTTCTTAAAAAGTGCGGTTGCACCGTTTAGAAAGCTTCGCAATCTTGTGAATAGTTGAGTATTGAACTCAGCGTCCATAAAAACCCTACTACACAAGTTTTCATATTTTTTTGAAAAATTTTGAAACGGCAGCTTTTTCCACATTGACACCATATGTTTCGAATTTCTACCGTAATCCTACAGTAATGAAGAGAGATGGGTGGTTCGTTCTATACTGCAAATTTAAGTTGAAGCCAGCTCTACAAAATGGTACCTGAAGCAAGGCAAAAGACTTCTTGGGAAAAGAGATATTAACGATCAAACAGTGTATACATACTTTACGGACACCCTGTATACTGATCAAAATGTATGATAAAAACCAAGTTCGATTGCGCAACTGCTACCGACATAAGGGAGCTTCCAGACCGCGCCGGGACCGCGCCGATTGTCGCTTTTGCAGCCAGTAGCTGCTTTTGCGCCGGTTGCCGCTAATGCAGCTGAAGCGCACCGTGTCGGATTTTATCCTTGGAGCGTCGCGAGAGCCTATTGGCATTAAATATTAAGCTTTTCAATTCTTTTGCCACCACTCTTTTGTTTCCAAGGTCCTCTTCTTTCTGTAAGTATTCATTGCAGGTTCTACGATGCTGGAGTAATCGACTCATTGTCGAGTATTCAATCTACCTCCCGTGTAGAGCTGATTCTTTAGGCAAAAAAGGTGATGAACGGCGTTTTGTCTTTCATTTAATTCCAGGCTATTATTTTACGGTACTTGATCGATTTCGTAGAAAACAAAGTCTCTTTAAATTTGTCTTCAACTTTGAAGCTATGCTACTTCCATCATTGAGTCATCGGGTTGCGGACATTCCTTAAATGCAAGTGTGAACTTGTTGGAACTTCATGCAGCATTGTTTTTCGTACTCTCTCGTTAACTTATCATTAAAATCAGGGAAAGCCCGCAACCCGCCTCCGCACAAGAGCTCGGAGCTGGGAGCTCGTAAATCTTTGCGGAACGCTGTTTTTTTTTGCACCGCTTTCGTTTTGATGATATTGCTCTGCTGAGTGGTTGCGCAGGCAAGGTTTTTCGATGTCTTTTTCGATTTGAGGTTGATCTACTATGCTGAGTGAACGATATCGTCGCAAAACGCTGTTTTTTGCACTTTCTAGTTTTAAAGCTACTTTACTATGTTTGAACGTACATTTACTGATCTAAGATACGGCAGTGTAGTTACGATCCTACGGCATGATGAGTAACTTAAAAAACAAAGAAAGTACGTTCGCAAGTGGCTCATCCAGCATAATGAACCAGTTCCAAAACGAGAAAGACGTCGAAAGGCCTTGCCTTGCAATAGCTCTACAGCGGGATTTAGAGTGAAAGGGTTTCACTCAACAATGAATCGATTTTTCCAGCAGTAGACAACCGAAAAAACGAAATCCAAATCAAACGAACCATATCTGCAATCAATTACTACAGCAAAGAAGAGCACTTTGGGAGCGAAAGAGTGATGACAAAAGAATCGAAAAGCCTAGCATCTAGTGCCAATAGGCTCTCGCTACGCTCCAAGGACAAACTGACACGGTGCGCTTCAGCTGCATAGCGACAACAGGCGCGAAAGCAGCTACCGGCTGCAAAAGCGACAACCAGCGCGGTACCGGCGCGGTCTGGAGGCTTCCTAAGACTACTCAACGTAGCCCGCACAATTTATGAGTTGCAGTACTATACATTTGTTCAGATTATGATTGCTATATCTATAACGGGTAAAACTGCGTTAGCATCTCTCTTACCTCATCCTCCCCAGTTCTGAACTAAGAATAATTGACAACAGCCCATGCCAGTTGAACCCACAAAAATGCATCGTTTGAGGACAGGCACTTAGATGCTTGACGTTGCGAGAATTTCCAATAAGCTTTATCAGTTCGTTGCACAAGTTTTTCGCGAGATGGGGTGTGGATGATGTAAGCAAACTCGGAAGCGTATGAGCGACTTCATTTCGACTATCAGTCTACACTTCTCGTCCGAGTTGGAATGCCGACTCATCGCCATGTTCGCCTTCATTTTTTCTATGATTGTATGTCACATGAATTCTCGAACACCTCCAGTCACATGCTATTAGGTTGGTAAGAAAGTTCTCGGACATTTTCAGAAAAGATCTGCTACTTCTCGAAACCTAAAGGTTATACATCAGACTGAGGTACCAATCGATAGAGCAAAGCAAGCTCTACAAGATGGTATGCAAAGTTTCGCACCAGCTTCGACCCACCGTAAGTTTTCGCCCAGAATCTGAGTCGTACTGAAATTCAAAAAATCGCGAAAAATTCATATCTTTGTTCAAACAAATCCTCCAGATCTCTAACTTGCTCACAAAAATTGCACACTACATCAGACACTCATATGCACCGTTCCTGTAATTTTTCCTCATTTAGAAATCGAAAAAACGAAAATTTTCATGCTTATATAAAAACGAAGCTGTGCTGCTTCTACCCATGTAGTTGAATAGTACAAGCCCTTAGAAGTATTACCGTAAATTTTCAGCTTTCTACAGGCCCTAGTTCCCGAAAATTAGCGATTTAAGCGCTCCTCACTCGGGGGTTCCATGCTAAAATCAATATTTTTCGACATCTAGGGCTTACAGAAAGCTGAAAATTTAAGGTTATACTTCTAAAGGCTTGAACTATTCAATTACATCGGTGGAAACAGCACAGCCTCGTTTTTATACAAGCATGAAAATTTTCGTTTTCTCGATTGACAAATGAGGAAAAAATACAGGAACGGTGCATATGAGGGTCTGATGTGGTCCGCAATTTTTGTGTGCAAGTTGGAGATCCAGAAGATTTGTTTGAACAAAGATATGAATTTTTCGCGATTTTTTGAATTTCAGTACGACTCAGATTCTGGGCGAAAACTTACGGTGGGTCGAAGCTGGTGCGAAACTTTGCATACCATCTTGTAGAGCTTGTTTTGCTCTATCGAATGGTACCTCAGTCTGATGTATATCCTTTAGGTTTCGAGAAGTAGCAGATCTTTTCTGAAAATGTCAGAGAACTTTCTTACCAACCTAATACTTTGCAAAAACCTGTGGGACATGAAATCATGAAACCCTTCATACCACATTTATAACTTAAGGGCATTATTTTTGAACTGAAAATGAGTCTTCCTCCCATCTATTCGCAGTCCCGCCTCCCTCTCTACTCCGTTTAGGTTCTGCGCTTCATTTTTGCTTGTCAATGATACTGCTTGGAAATGAGAGGAGTCCTACATCATCTTGTACGGTTCTCCTCTCTTCGCATTCGGCACGGTCGTGGAGCAGTTGTAGTAGTCCTCAGATAAACTGGGTCCCTTCTTGGATGGATAGAACTGATAACATTGGCTTCGATGCCGCTAGTGATTTTCTAGTAGATGATTGAAGAAAAGATGAAGGCAAGTCGTACCCCCACCGCACTTCTGTTATTTCTGAAACTGCCTGGATGTGGTCTATGCGGCTGGACTCCCATAAGAAATTCAGCTTCTTCTTTGGACCGGATTTCAAACAGTGTCCTCTTGCAGCACACTCTATAGCATAATGAATAGTAGTTTTGGAAATCTTTTCGCTTTCTTCTCTTGAACGAAGGGACTTCTCTTGAGGTTACTCACTGACCGGGATCCTTTCTATCAAAACATAGGACTGAACTCGATGCAAGAATCTCGCGTAAACATTATGATTCGGCTCGCAGAAGTTGAAAGAAATGTGATATTTTCTTAAACTGTGGTGTCATCGAGATCTAAACTGCGGTTTACACTAAAACAAAGAGAACTCTGGCGGATTTACTCTACTGCGAAAAGAACTCGAATGCGTAGAAGATTTTCGGAATGATTTTCCACTTCATGAAGTCAGAACCCAATCCTCTCGGCTGTGCTGCCAACCGCACGTGATACTCTTCAGAATTACCAGAGACTACGTCTTCTCATCGCTAAATACTTCGCTTTACTCCCAGTAAACATTCCCGTGCAAGACTTTGGCAGGTGGTTCGCGACGAATCACTCAAGATGAGTTACATTCGGATTCTGCCTAGTAGTTTCTTCCGAGCCAGTTCTTGGTAGTCTTTCATGTGCTTTTCTGGTCCTTTGACTCATTGCTGCGCAGTAGCACAGCTTTCAAAGGACCATCGGAGTTCGCTCCAGAAATCTGCTGATTATGGAGCGAACTCCGATGGTCCTTAGAAACGCGTTCCGATGATCTACAACAGGTTTGGGTTTCTCCAACCCGTAAAAGTCATGAACTCGCCATCCCGGTGATGTGTTCTATGGGGTTTCAATGAAAAACGGGTGCGGCGAGTGAAGCCCAGCGATATCGTTGTAGTTATCGCTCCGGTGCCATATCAAAATTTATAATACTATTCTTCTTCAATGACATGCTGTTCTTTGCTTTGAAATTGCTCACATGATTTGTAGAACGAGTTCTCGTTGCGCGTGACCAGTGACTCGCAGAGAGCATCCAATTCTGACCACTAGCTGTCGATGTCAGAGAACAGTTGATGATGCTGGTGTTTTTCTCTGGCAGAGTTGCATACCATGTTGAACTGCCGTTCAGCAAGAAGATGTACCTTAGAGTCTATATCACAGTCCCTTCGGGACTGTGATATAGTTCTATTCTACTCTACAATTTTGCAATAAGCCTCAACAATAGTCGTATCAGAAACAGTAAGACCTAACATAATTACATAGGTAATGGTAAGGAGTTCTAGGCACCATTGGAAAATACGAGAGAAGACTTCTGGAGGATGGTTTTCCAGGAACAATGCAGCTCCATTATCAATCTTACAAGTGTGAGTGAAATGAAATTATTTTTTCACTCGCAGGAAAGATAAAGCTCTCGAGACATTTCAACTTGAAAATAAAAGTGTTCATATACAGGAAATTGATGACACCGATAGAATGGTGCGCTACTTTCCTGCTAAACCGGGAGATTTTACCAACTATGGTAAAATGTTTGTTAATACAAAGAAGGTAAATTGCAGTAGTCCTTGTTGCACTTCCAATCTTCTTTGTTACAGGTAGAGGACGAGAATAAATTTCTTGTTTATACTGTAGAAGTTTTACCAGACGGTTGTTCTAACAGTCACCTGCTAAACCTTATTAAACCAAAAGACGACAGTGGAAAGCCCTCGACAACTATGATCTTGCGCATGTTGCGTATAGTCGCATCGGTGAACCACAATTTTTGTAGCTCCGAAAGTATGTGTAGCCAGGAGATTCTAGTCTGAAAAGATGACAAATGGACCAGTTGTGGTACATTGCGTTTCTGGAGTGGGCAGAGCAGGCACCGTTATACTCATAGATGTCATACTTCAACGTTTATTCACCAATCAACTTCCCGTTGATGTAAGCTCCACTACTAGTCGATTTTATCCAATAGTATGTAGATCTTTGATGCAGCTCGCAGAGATATTCCGTCTGCTCAGAAATCAGCGAGCATCATGCCTGCAAAGAGAAGCGCAATTTTTGTTTGTTGTCGCAAGTGTAGTCGATTACATAGGGGTATTTCAAATTCAACACTTTGTAATGTGACGCCAAAGCTTTGTTGCAGACTAGATATCCGAGCCGATACCGACAAAAGCGCGATAAATTCAAGGAAGACTTCAAGACCACAGTAGCTGGTAATGCCGCCAAAAAAGCTTCGAGGGAGATTGTGAAGCCAGTAGAAAACTAATATGGTCCCGATTCCTAAATGTTTAACGATTGCATTTCAACTAATAAGCGATATTATTCATACGTGTCACATGCCATGATTAAATAATAAATTTTGCACAAATCTTGCAGGCTTATGTATTTGCATGAGTTTTCGTGCTTACAGCAAGATGAACGTCAAGCTCTATGCATGCGCAAAAACCATAAGATAAGAGAAAGCACCTATATATGACTCCTTGGGCACAACGTTTTACCTAGTCAACGCTTTCAAACGGAATGAGTTTAGGACTCGGCAGCAGGTGGCTCTGGTAACTTTTTCACACGACATCAACGTTGAATTGATACCTGTACGACAGTGGCGTACCCAGGATTTCGGCTCGGGGGGGGGGGGGCGCGGCAAAAATTTTTTCTAAATGAAGGTGCGTGGCGTCAGCCACGCACTCCGAAAAAATTTTAGGAGGGGGGCGGGCTTCTCAGAATTTTTGCGGGCCCGCAACCCCTAAAATCTGGGAAAAGGGGGCGTGGCCCCAGCCACGCCCCCGAAAATTTTTTTTGTAAGGCTAAATTGAATTTCTAAAGATTTTAAAAATTATTTTTATTGTTTACAAAAATAAACTAGTATATTCTGTAGAGATTCTCCAGAGGATTTAAGACAAGACAGGTGACTTTACAGAAGCTACGCGATGCTGACGAAGAACGGCGGTGATTGGACTGCATGCATTTTAACATGCGTTTGCTGTTGAAGTGTTTCACAATGGTATGGAAGGAGAGCCTCCATTGGCTTGCACTTCATCGCAGTTTGCGCTGAATCCTTCTTATCAAACCAGACTTTTGAAGCACGGGCTCTCAATAGGGGAACCTCTGTTCAAGTATCTCTTGCTAAAAATTGGTTGGACTCTGCTTTAGATAGTGCCGGTCGGTCTTCTGGCAGCTGTCCACGCCAAATTTCCTTTGATTAGATTACACAACCAATTCATTGGCTCATTCTATCCGTTATCTTCCTAACAAAGAAGACTTCGGCGGAAGTTCCCTGGGGTCTGGAAGCACTTTGCATGGGTTTAAAAGTTTGACTAATAAGAAAATTTAAGCGATGCTTACGAGAAGTGTCGGAAAACTAACGACTGTGCTCCTTCACAAGCGGCGGTGCCAGCGCTACGTTTCACAGCAGCACAATGCATTTGATGAGGTTCTAGCCGTTCCTCGCCCACATCGCCGTTTTACGCCAGCAACGCGCACTTCTGTGAAGGTCACCATACTGCCCTGTCCTAAGTTTGAGGAACTCTGCAGAATACTGGCATAGCGAATCCATGCAGACCAAGCACTACGAGGCCTTGGGAAAGTGAAGCAAGACTCATGTGAGAACATTGAACAGGAACATGTGTGAGAAGCATTTCCAGCAGACTTGACGAAGTGGTAAAAGAATCCGTTTGCCCGGTTGGTTACGAAAACACGTTTTGCGTTTTCTTTACCTGGAAGAAGTATCTGTTAAATCTGTTAGACTCCACGTTACAGCATTGTTTTTCGTACTCTGTCAACTTTATCCTTATTATCAGGGAAATCTCTCAGCCCGCCTCCACACGGATCTGGAAGCCGATCATATCCCGCTCAAAGGGTCGTACAGTTATGAAGCAGTGGAAGAATAGCCATGCCTCCACATGTAGAATAACAAGGGAGTAGGAGTATTGAGTGAAATGCCTTTTTGATCATTAAGACATGTGAATCCCTGAGGCACTCACTGGAGTACCCTGTCTCTTCTGTAAGTCCGGAGCTTCCAAATCTCGAGAAGTGTCTTATGCTTGTTCAACGCACTGTATGTTACAGGGTTTCATTGCCGTCTCAAATTATGGTATTTCAAGGCAACCTCATTTAGAAGGTCGGTCAAAAATCCTGCTTCGGGTCCGCAACTTCAACCTTCCACAACATACAATAAAAAATAAAGCTTGTGATCATCTTCTTCGCTTCTCGATCTTCGGTTTCTTCAACTAGTAGGAGGGGGCCGAAAAGCTGCACAAGGCTTACCGTGTCTTCTCTTCAGCATATCTCAAATTATGGTATTTCAAGGCAACCTCATTTAGAAGGTATCCGTCAAAATTTTAAGAACCACACAGAACTTTAAAAAAAGCGATAGATCCCAATAATAGATAGTCGTTCTTGTTGATTCTTTTCTTCTTTGCGATTTAGAATGATGATTATCTGTGAAAAAAAGTTATTATACGACTAGAGCAGACGATGACGGTAACTTCTTTATTTGCAAATTCCCACTCTAGAGCGAACTATAGCACAAGCACAGAACCTCTCGCTTCGATATTACGAAGTTTTTCGTGGTATGATGAGCACTAAGAATTTTTTTTTGAATTAGACCTGCTTGAGCTATAGTTGGCGGAAGATTGCTTCGCGATTTCCAGTGTTCTAACATGGCTTTCCCCCAATTTTTTATAAAAGAAAATGCTCGAAGATAGTGGATACAAGGAAGAAAAATTTGTCGACATTCACTTCACGCAGACCGCTGACCCCTTCCTGTTCTAATGAAGAGTGCATTATTGGGTGAAGCCTGCACGACAACCAAATGGTCATCTCATCCTCAATGCACGGCCATCTAAGGCTGCATCGATCAGAGTGTCCAGGCCGCTGCCAGCCCTTTCGCAAACCACAAATCCATTCTTGTCTCGTATTTCCTCCATCGACTTGTTGGCTGCTACCATTTCGCCCTCAAGCTGGGTTCATCCGCCTCGACCTATTCTGGATTCATCCAGCCAAAATAACAGAGTCAAAATCCTGCTTCCCATCCATCCTCCCTTCAACTTCGTTTTGATAATTGATTTTTTATCCTAAGACGAAATCATTGAATTTACTCCGACCGTTTCGCAATGATGCTGTAAGTTATCTTAATCAAATAAACAAACAAAACACTATCTGATGTTCGGTTGTTTTCCATCTTCCTGTCTAATGAGACAGAATGGGTTCTTACACATGTGTGCGTTGGGTACGGGTATTTATCTACCCAGAGAGGCATGCCGCCACGTAATTATCAGCGGACATGAGAGGTCATGAACTGTCAGTAGCGCTAATTTGCACCCATTTTGCATTAAAGGCAAGCAGATTTTGCTCACGACAGATACGACATCATCTACATTGTACAAACCCGGGATTTCATTGAAATTTGAATTCAAAGTTCAGTAGTGAAACTAGTCCAACCAGGGTAAAAATTTGTATTTTGGGGTAATCTGCCAGGCTGGTGTCAAATATGATGGTAGTTTTGCGTGAAAATGAAACCGAGCTTCGTGATGGTATTAAAATGAATGTTCAGTGGCGATATTTGACAAATTAGAATAAGAACTTGGATATGGGTTTCTAAGGGCGCTCTTTACGAATATGATAACGGTTTAGTACAAAATCCTCAAATCCTCTGGTAAAAGCATTTTATCATTTTTCAAGAATTAAGTGATAATTCAGTAGCTGCTCTTTAAGAAAATTGATTGTATTAGGTTGTCCCAAAAGTAAACTCCATTTCCAAATAAATTGAGCTGTTCTTGTCCTCCTGACAGACTTAAGGAACCATTCAATAGAGCGGAGCAAGCTATACAAAAAGGCCACCAAAGATCCACCTAAGTCGTAATCCAGGTAAAATTTGGGGCCAAAAATCAAGATTTTTCAGCTACTCTAAAAAATCGGATCTCATTCCAGAGAATTCCTACGGACTTCCAACTTGGTCTTTATATAGTAGACACATAGTAGTACCCAAAATGTATTTGGTGGATTTTTTCTGGGTCTCAAAATTAAGAACAAAAGATGGTCCAAAAACGCCAAAATGCCACTTTTTTCGGGTTTTGTATGTAAAACTTGGTATTTCTCGAATATAAGAGCACTTACAGGGTAAAGATTCTGGATTTATACTGAGTAAGTTTTGTAGTATACAATGACATATGTGAGAGAGGCTGCGGGCGGAGTTTGCCATTTTTGGACAATTTTTGTTTCTCGCTTTCTATGCTCGAAAAAAATTCGGTAAATGTATTTTTGAGTACTACTATGTGCCTACTGTACAATGACCAAGTTGGAGGTCTGTAGGATTTTTTATCGCAGAAACCCAATTTTCAGGTGAAATTTCTTTCGATTTTGGCTTTAAACTTTCCACGGAATGCGACTTAGGCGGATCCTTGGTAGTTTTTTCATAAAGCTTGATCTGCTCTATCAAATGATATTTTAAGTTTACTGGAATAACAAAAACAGCTTAAATTATTTGAAAAAGGAGTTTACTTTTGGGACAATCTAATAGTTTCCAAAAATAATTCATAACATAAAGATTTTAATGATAGCTGGGGATCTTTTCCAATCCTTCAAACTTAGTTGCAGCTTCACTGAATTTTTTATTACCTTATTTCAAACTTTATTTCGCAGTTTGTATCATTTTTTCTCTTTCTGAAAGTAGCATTCTTTTTCATTTGTTTTCCAGTTTTATCAAAGTTGCAATGAAATTTATGAAAAGTCAAGATTTCAAAAGAAAAAGTTTTCGAAGTTTCCGGCGAAAACATTGGCATATTGGAAAACAGCGTTAGAAAACCTCAAATGACAATTTTAAGGTCTTTGCCAGATTTTGAAAACAAGATTAGAAGTCAAAAGAAAAAATTTTGAGTTTTCACGCAAAATCACCATCATATTTGGAACCAGCCTGGCAGATTACCCCTAAATACAGATTTTTACCCTAGTTGGACCAATTTCACTACTGAACTTTGAATTCAAATTTCAATGGAATCCCGGTTTTGTACAATGTAGGATGATGTCGTATCTGTCGTGAGCAAAATATGCTTGCCTTTGGTGCAAAATGGGTGCAAATTAGCGCTACTGACAGTTCATGACCTCTCATATCCGCTGATAATTACGTGGCGGCATGCCTCTCTGGGTAGATAAATTCCGTTCCCCGTGTGCGTTAAAGACAATTCGCTTTATTATATGTGAAGTATTGGGAGCTCACGTGTTCGTGCATGTAAAATATAGGATGTATTTGACGTAAAATTCAAGACATAGACGAGTGCGAGAAAAAGGGGAGGAAATACCAGCGTGTTCAGGACCCGGCAGTGTCCATTTCTAGGC